TAGACCCGGCACTCTTTCCTGCCTATGCAGGGGGTCGGACTCGATGATCTATTAAGGTCCCTTCCGACCCTAACATCTATGAATCTATGAAAACACAGGTGCAAATAAATTATTTAAAAGCTATGCTTTATCTGTCTTATCTGTTACGAGTTGCCCTAGCCCATTCTGTAGAGGCCCTATGTTACCCTGCACTTTCTTCTTGCTCCCTACGTACTTAAAGAAGGATTTTTTGTTATCCTGAATCTTTGTTGCCAGCTTGAGTTCTGTATCTGCTTTGGCCTTCCTCACTGCTTCCCTGCAAGCGTGAGCCAAACAGGTATACTCTTCCTTGGTGGCCGCCCCCTGCTTCCACAGTCTGTAAGCCTCTTTTTTCCTCTGAAGGCTCTCCTAGATTTCCCTGCTCAGCCAAGAAGGTTTTTTAGCTATTTTGCCTCCCTTTATGTGCACTGGGATGGTACCCCTCTGTGCCTGCAGGATTAGTCCCTTGAGGAACTCCCACCCTTCTTGGACTCCCATCTTAAAGATGCGATTACCCCTCAGTCTCACCCTAACTAAGCTCCTGAGCTCATTGAAGTTGGCCTTCCGGAAGTCTAGCACTACTGCCCTACTAGTTGTCTTTCCCACTTTTTGCCAGATAGTGAATCCTATCTACTGATGGTCATTATCCCATAGGTTACCTTGTACCTGTAGATCCCCCCATCAAGTCCTCCCCTGTGGCCAGCACCAAGTCAAGTAAGGCATCTCCCCTAGTGGGACTGCATACCTCCTGTGTTAGGTGCAGGTCTGTATGCAGGTTAGGAACCTACGTGAACGGGTGGACCTGGCCAACTGCTCTTCCCAGCAGATGGCTGGGTATTTAGGTCACCAATGACAACTAGGTCCTTTTGAGCGTACTGTCTTTGAGAGCTGTTTTGATCATTCTAGATCTAACTCCTCCTCTTGGCGTGGGGGGCTGTAGTGGGCCCCCACTACCAAGTCCCTTTCACCCCTACCCCCTTGTAATCTGACCCATAGGACTTCAATCTGACCTTCTTCTGATCCCATCTTTATTACAGAAGATGTAAAGTGTTCCCTGATGTATAGAGCAACACACCCCACCCCCTTTTTTCCCCAGTCTATCCTGCCTGTACATCCTGTAGCCCTCAATGCCCACTGCCCTGTCGTGGGAAGGGTCCCACCAGGTTTCTTCGTTAGTCCAACCAGGTCAAAATCTTTGTCTGCAAGCAGGAGTGCAAGTTCCTCCTGCTTGTTTCCCATACTTCTAGAATTAGTATAGAGACACCTAAGCCCCCCAATAGGTACCTTTAGTACTCCCCTATCCTGATTCTTAGTGGACTCCTTAGTACTTAGCTGGTCAATTCCAGCGCGTGGTTCGTGGCTGGTCTCGTTCTGACTTTGATATCCCCGTCCCCCAATGAATTAGAATTTTCAAAAGTACCTGATTTGTTGATTTTTGGCTTCGTGGTCAAATTTGGTTTTCTTTTTATATGCAGATTTGTGGGACAGAACAATAAATAAATACAGCATAATAATATTAAGGGTGAAATTCAGCCAAGAGTGGGAGATCTGTTCAAATCTATTATGCCATATTAGACCACATGATGGGACTGTGACTCCTTCATTTCTCGGATGCCAGTCACATGTAGGGTAGTACAGTGGGTGGAAGCAAGAGGTCTGAGACCCATTGGTTTCAACTCGGACAAGTGGCGTAGAATATCTGCAATCACTAATCCAGTGCATAGCTTGAAGTTGCAGCTGTGGAGAGGGACAAGCTATGGTATATTTCCCTCCCTTTGTCCATCCTGCCTTTCAGGTGTGTAAATAGTGTCCTTTAGTACACCTTCAGTTTGAAAGTTGTACTAATTAAATGTCCAACTTGTAAATGGTTGTGTCTGTAGACCAAGCTGGCTTATGGCTTTATTGCGGAACCAAGACTTCTAAGGCAGCAAAGAAGAGGACAAGTTATTCCAACTGAACTTGCTCTTTACTTGAAGGAGACACAACGTGGATTGTTGGTAGCTTCAGTGTTGGCTTTATATGAGAACAGTAAAATTGAACTGGAAGAAGCAAACGCTTATTTCAAGGTTGGTCTGAATTTAGTTTTTATTCTTTGTAGTCTCGCTTGGTATTAATAGAGAGAGATAGCCAGAACAACCCAAGTCATTCTTGTTCTCTCATGCATGTGTGAAAATTTCTCATGTATCAGCAGGA